AAAAAAAAGATAGACTGACCATTTGTTGAGTTTTCTTCTAGAGTTGCTATGTCTTGTTTTGGTTTGTTCGTTGGGCTTGAAATGGTCGATGCCCACTTCCTCTCTTTTCTTTTTCTTGTACTGCACGAGTTTTAGTTGAGCCTGATCTCCTAATGGACTTCGATGGACACGGATCGGGTTTGGGTGGGTTTGGGTCGGTTTTCAATTAATTTGATCTGATCTAAAAATTATATATAATGTATTTGATTCGACTCAAAAGATATATATCTTCCACCTGATCAGAACCGACTCGACTTTTTGAGATAAAATCCGAACTCAACCCGAAATAATATATTTATTAAAAAATATATTATTTCTATTCAATAAAAATATATATTTAATTGAAAGAAAATAATATATAGAGAGACATTATTGTAATTATCCTTAAAAATATAAGATAAAAGTCGGGTCGAGTATTTTTTACCTAAACCCGAACACGACCCAATCCAAACATAACCTCTAAAAAAACTCACCAATCCGACCTGAACCCAATTTTAGAAAAAATAACCCAATCAAATCGGGTCAAGTTGAAACCCGTCGGATTTGAGTTCTGTGCCCATCCTTAACTCCCACTATGTTTCCTAAATTTCTTTCGATGAATACTTATCTTTTGATTATGGAAAAAAACATTATCTTTAATCGAATATTATATGCTTTGATAATTTTTTATTATTATGAGATGATTATAATATAACATTTATTCAAAAGATTTTTAATTATTTAATAATAAATATTTATATATAGATAATGTGTTAGAGTTCAGATTCTTTAAAAATAATAATCACCTCTTGACTTGATTATGATAAATTAACAGCGATAATCTTTCTTTAAAACATTAAACAAACAAGAAATAATGCTACTGGTTGGCAACTAAAGAGGCCAGGCCAGGGTCCTGGTTTCGAAGTTGTTTTACTTTGAAGCTTTGAGCTAATGATCGACCCTCAAATATTGAAGACTAAAATATTTTAATGGTTGGTATGGAACTATTCTCTTTATAAAGTAATGCCAACTAAGTACTTTAAAAGAGGCACAATTAATGGAAGAAAAGGTAGGGGGGAATCCATAGCTTATAATTATGAAAATGATAATGATACACTTCAGAAGCAATAAACTTTAGCAGATAAATTAATTAAATGCCAGCCAGCTGGTTACTTTAGAGAAACGGCCATTGGATATTTACTTCTTATCATTTTTTTCAGTTTTAATTTTAGCGTCAGTTCAAATCCATTAGTTTTGATTTAAATGCATTATTTTTAGGAGAATATATAATCTTTATTTTTTTAATATTTAAAAAAAATATAATTGGTCAAACTCGAAATCTCTACCTCTCTACCATAAAAAGTTTAACGTAAGTATTTTTTGTTTGGAATAAGTGGCTTTAATTAACCATTAATCAAAGTGTGAAATATTAGGGCTAATTTAAAATGGTAAAATAAGTTAATGTGGTTTTTTAGTCAATTTCTTTTGTTAGTTGAGCACTGATGATGAAAAATTATAAAAATTGAAAAGCATCAGAAACGGTGTACGTGTTGGCCTTAATTCATTACTCACAATTACCTCCTTCAATTCAATGTTAGAACCATTTATCCATGAAATTATTAGGTTAATGATTTAAAAAAAACATATGCTTTTACATAAAATTAATTAAGAAATTAAAATTTAAGATTAGAAATGATTTTTTCTACTTCTGTTGATACAAGACAATGGAAGAAAAACAAAATAAACTAAAATATCCTTTAAATAAGAGATTTTAATACAAGTATGCATCTATGTAAATATTTTATATGAAGGGTGGACTAATAAAATTTAAAAGGACATAAAATTATAATTTTTTTTTTAAAATATAAAATATTATCATAAAAATATAAAAAATATTTAAAATGTATGGCACTTTGAAAATTTTAGGAAGACAACGGCCTCCGTCATGTTCCATCACTGACAATAAAAGAGAAGAGAATACTCACAGTAAGTCTAAAACTCATGACCTAAAAAAATGGTCAAACTCGAAATATAATTGGTCAAACTCGAAATCTCTACCTCTCTACCATAAAAAGTTTAACGTAAGTATTTTTTGTTTGGAATAAGTGGCTTTAATTAACCATTAATCAAAGTGTGAAATATTAGGGCTAATTTAAAATGGTAAAATAAGTTAATGTGGTTTTTTAGTCAATTTCTTTTGTTAGTTGAGCACTGATGATGAAAAATTATAAAAATTGAAAAGCATCAGAAACGGTGTACGTGTTGGCCTTAATTCATTACTCACAATTACCTCCTTCAATTCAATGTTAGAACCATTTATCCATGAAATTATTAGGTTAATGATTTAAAAAAAACATATGCTTTTACATAAAATTAATTAAGAAATTAAAATTTAAGATTAGAAATGATTTTTTCTACTTCTGTTGATACAAGACAATGGAAGAAAAACAAAATAAACTAAAATATCCTTTAAATAAGAGATTTTAATACAAGTATGCATCTATGTAAATATTTTATATGAAGGGTGGACTAATAAAATTTAAAAGGACATAAAATTATTTTTTTTTTAAAATATAAAATATTATCATAAAAATATAAAAAATATTTAAAATGTATGGCACTTTGAAAATTTTAGGAAGACAACGGCCTCCGTCATGTTCCATCACTGACAATAAAAGAGAAGAGAATACTCACAGTAAGTCTAAAACTCATGACCTAAAAAAATGGGAAACAAAGATGAGCAGTTTAGTTAACAGAACAAATATGCTTGGTTGTGATAATTAAATTAATACTTAGTAGAAAACTTAATTATAAATATTAAATTACATATTTTAAATCTATATTTCATATTACAATAAAAAATTGTTTTATTTGTTGCGACATTTCTTTTTCAGACTTGCAGGGTCGGCCTAACACATGTGCCACATGGGCGAAGGGCCAGGGCAGCATGTGGGGGGTAGTTTTTTAGGGCTTAATTTCTATGTTACATGGTTTTACTCGCCTAAACCAGTTGAAGAAGTCTCTGGTTGAGCATATTGGGAATTGAATGATTTACCATTTTTCTTCATTAATTCTGTACATATTTGAGTACCAGGTTGTATTTCACTTTCATCGGTAGTTTCCTGCTCCATTGTCAACCAGGGTAGTTTTCTCATTTGGTTCTTAACTTAGAAGGTGTGCATTGGGGAGTTGTTAATGGTGAAGAACTCTTTGAACACATCTGATACATATGGCTATATAACGTAAGAAAATCTTATTCTTTTAGTGTTTCAGCTTCAAGCTTTCAATGAAAACGAACTAAAAATCACATCATTCTCATTCTTTTTCATAAGATTACCCAATCAACGTACAATTCTTTCCATTTACTACTATGCTGTTAGTTGTGAAATTCTTGATGTTTATATTCTGAATTTTATGCCAAATGAATCCGAATGTGGAATCAAATAGGCCTGAGATTCGCATTTAGCATCTCTTATTCTTAGATTACTCGGTTAAACTTATCTAATAGGGGAAGGATTTATGCTTGGATTCGAACTTTGAATTTATTAGATGCCAGTTTTTGAAGATGACTGCATGAACCATTTGAGTTTCGAGTTCACTTAGGAATGCTTATTCTTTCTCTATAGTGTGTGAATTTGGTGGTTGGCATGAACTAATCCTATGATAAACCCATCCTCGAAGTGTAATATCGAATCGGCCCGGGATTTGTATTTAGCATATGGAATCTATTTTCTTATTCTTTGACTACCTCGTTAAACTTTTCCGGTAGAGAAGGACTTATGTTAAGATTCGAACTTTGAATTTGCCAACTATCACATTTAAAAAGTATCTGCATGAGAGGATTGAGCTAAGTTTTGAGTTCAGGAATGCATCGTTCTTTCTCTTCTAAACCTTTGATGTTATGCAAATTCGGTTACAACTTGTAGGTGGTTGGCATAAAGAGATCATATCCATTTTCTCTAGACAATATTCCAGGTCCCCCTATCGTAAAATAATAGAGGTTTTTGTTTCAAAAAATGCACGAAGACATCGTTTTAGGTGATATTTGTAGCCTTGTAGGTTTTGGTATGTATTAATATTGATATTGTTTTACTATAATTTATATTACATTTTTGTTTTAAAAAATTATTTATGTTTTGTCTATTATACAATACAAGTATAGGGGCATAAAATTGTTATCTCGCCCAGGACATTAAAACTCATTGGACCGGCTTCTTAACGTTCTTAATATGGTTGCATAATAATACTTGTTCTTATATTAGTTCTAAACATGTAACAAATAAGATTATTTAAATTTGGTTCATTGTAATATTTGTAAATTTGATTATTATATATATATATATATATTAAAAGATTATTATTGTTGTTTATACATTCAGGATCATGAAGAAACTAGAGGCTAAATGAACTTGAAAATTTGAATATAATATATACTAAAATAAAATTGAAGAATTAATTAAAACTCAATAAACTCTCATAATAGATCACATGGCCGTGGCACCAACCGATACAACGGACATAATCTCGTAATTATCTCCAACTTAAAAGGCCAATTCTGTCAATCCACGACCATAGAAGTTACAGATTTAAGTCACCCAACTATTCAAGCAGTTTTGTTTTGGTCACTAATAATTTTTTTAAAATGTCTAATATTACGTTTTAGTTTTATTTTAGTCACTTATCATTCAAAAATTAATAGAATTATTGATGTGACATTTTTTATTTTTTTTCAATGGTAACATGACATCACCATTAATTTTTGACAACAAGTGACCAAAACGCAATATTAGATATAATTTTTGAAAAAGAATAATTAAATGACCAAAATGAAACTGAACTAATAATTATGTGACTAAATACATAATTTACCCTAAGTTATAAATACAACTTCCAAGCCGAATTTCAACTCAACAATTGAGAATATATAAAGTTCCTCGTGTCACTACCACTTCCATCCCACTCCTTTCACTTTCTCGGGAAAATATTCTCTTTCCCAACTGACAGTCGTTGATTTTTTCTCCGTCGTTTTCTAACGAGAAAATGTCTATTGGGATGGGAAAGTGCCAGAAAATTCGCCACATTGTCCGAATTCGCCAAATGCTGAAGCAGTGGCGAAGGAAAGCCCGCATAACGGCCAGCAACAACAATAACGGACACCCGCCACCGTCTGATGTTCCTTCTGGACACGTGGCTGTCTGCGTCGGCACCGGTATGAGGAGATTTATCGTACGCGCCACCTACCTAAACCATCCAATCTTCAAAAGACTACTCCTTCAAACCGAAGAAGAGTACGGTTTCAGCAACGTAGGACCATTAACCATCCCATGCGACGAGTCCTTGTTCGAAGAGATTCTCAGACTCGTCTCCCGATCCAACTCACCTCCTTTCTCTACTTCCGATGATCTTCAGAGATACTGCCACGTCGGCGTGAAGAATAAACTCGGTTTTATTGGCGAATCTCGACCGTTGCTTCATGGGGCATCCGAAAAATCCGTCTACTGAAAGTACAAAGCAAACAGCTTGAGTACCCATACTTCTGGGTAGACTCAAATCTCAACCGAGTCACCCGAGTTGGAAGACCTAACAGTGAAGGAGGTGAAGATTTTTTTAGGGTAAACTATATATATATTTATTATCTCAAATATCTTTTTTATTGTATTCTAGTCAATCAACTATATTTTATTTTAAATTTATACATAATATTACGTTTATGTTTTATTTTGATCACTCTTCCTAAAAAATAATTAAAGGTGATGCTCATTATAAAAATTAAAAAATGTCATGTTAGTAGTTTTGTTAGTTTTTAACGCATGATGATTAAAATGAAACCAAAATGTAATGTATAGTATGATTTTGAACAAAATATTAGTTTGCTGATCAAAATGAAACAAAAATAATAGTTAAGTGTACTAAATGTATTATTTATATTTTTTAATTATTATTATCTTGTAAATCCAATGACTTTGAGTGTCCAATTTTAGGAATTGCAGTGATATGAGTAGTTATTCAAAATTGTATAATTTATTTGGATAATACTGAAAATTGTATTATTTTCAAGTTGTATTACTTTGTATTGCAATATTGTAATAAAGGAATAATAAAATATCCATTTTCAAATATATTTTTAATTATTAATAAGTTTTATTGGGTTTTGGTACCTCGTCAGTCATGGCATTGGTTCTAGTAATTAATGTAATACTATTATTATATTAAGAATATTAGGATAAACTAATTGAATATCGTTAAAATTTAAATTAAATATCAATTTTATCATTATATTTTAATTTTTTTTTTTATTTTGGGCTCGTTTCAGATTGGGTAGTTTGGACAGATGAGATTATTTGTACCAGATTTGGATTGAGAAAGTATATTTAGGTTTGGGTGTTTAAGATTTGGGTCAACAGATTGGATTTTTGAAGGTTTAGAATTTGGGTTTCTGTAATTGGGTTTGTGTTTTGTAAATGGCAGTTGGGTAATTTGGTTTAATGGGCTAGTTGGATCTATGTAATGTAATATGAAAAAAAATATAATAAGAGACATTAGTTTTTATATAATAATTAAATATATACGTATTGAATTATCAAAGCGATTTCAGTGATAAATAAAATTATTATTTTTTCTAAAAATTTCAAATTCAAGTATTTGCGTCTGTAGATTATGTATGTTGTCAATGACTAAGAAATATTTTAAACAAATACTATATTGTAATCACCTTAAACTAATCAATATGTATACATATGTTTATAATTTTAAAATCAATAAATTTAATTTATTTATTATATTCACACATATGTTAATATTACATTCAATTTTAAAGTTAAAAGAAAATGATTTGATTAAAATCAAAGGCTAAAAATTCTGAAAACAAATATTTTTATTGAGGTTCAAACGAAAATGAACTTCTACAACTACATCGAGAATAAGACTCAAATGGATGTATGTAATAGAAATAAGGTAAAGATAAAAAGATGACAAATCTTTGTTTTACTCTAATTTTCATTATGAATTATGAGGTTATCTAAAGTGGGATTGAAAAAATAGTTTTTTTTAGAGAGATGAAATTTACTTGTCAAGAGAAATAATCTTAAGAGAGAAAAAATATTGGGTTGTACAGTGTATTTGCAAAACCTTTTTATCAGGATGTATCTGCAAATCTAGATTGATAATGACAAACATATAGAAGAAGGTTTTCGAAATAAAAGGATAAATATTGATAATGACGAACGAGCATGTTAGTTTGTTTAACTTTAAATGAACAAACGAACGAACACGAACAATTAAACGAATGAAATTTATTATTCGTATTTGTTTATTAAGGATTGTAGCTTGTTTGTATTCATTCATGTTCATTAAAATAATAAACAAACGAACATAAATGAACACAAGCAAACGAACATGAATAGTGCACACTGTAGTTTTTTTCTTCTTCACATTCTTTTATTAGTACAGAGCTTAAAAGCCAAAGAAAAGAAAAGAAAAAAGAAATAGGGACAAATCTCTGCAAGTCTTAGAAGATACATATCTCAGTACATTACTATGCCATCAGTTGCTTTTGCCACAAAATCTATTTGAACCGTAAACGAAAGTCCCAAAATTTCCAGGACTATTGTAAATCCACTGCTCAGAGTGGTTTGAACTGTTGATTTTGGGCCCCATCGGTCAAGCTAATCTGTCGCCTGAACTTAGCAATATGAGCTTGTACCTACACATTCCAGTTAAAACGTCTACATCTAGACATCTATACATGATGATGGACCAATCATTTTGGAAAGAAATTGGCAAGCAAGTTCGAGGACAAACCAAATGTAAATAACGATGCAGTTTGTAAAAATTATACTTGCTTACCTGTTGACGAGCAGCTGCGAGTTGTAATAGCTCATCAGCTTCTGAGAAATTCAAGAGCCACTGGCTTAGGGGATGGTCCTTAGTGTCACCTCTTTTCCTTTTACTTTCATCTTCAACTGGTGCTGCAAGCAATTTAGAGGTACGCTGGTGAACCATTAGCATGACACAAACAAAATATTTCAAAGGCATAGGAATAAACCTGGGGGTGGTAAAGTAAAACCAGCTGGTAATCTGGGGAAGGTTACTGCTGGATGATTCTGCACACGAACCAAAAAACTCTCTGGCGGTTCTGTGAATACGACCTCGTCATAGGATTCCACGACAACAGGTTTCTTAGTTGACATGGGGCCAGATTCATCTTCTGGGTGTAACTTCAAATGGTGATATCTGGAGATACAATTTCACAATTAAACATACTCAAGGCTTTGTAGAAGATAAGTTATTTTCAACAAGGCAGTTGCCGGTTAAAAACCGAATCATAATCATTGTGAGAATTTCCAGCAATCACTACATATCTTCGGTAGAAGGGGAAAAATGTCAGAAAATCCAACATTTAATTGGTCATAATCAGGACATTATATCTGCTCACTATTTAAACGTTTCACTTAGTTGCCAGCATGTTCTTAAACACACCGAACGATAAAGAAAGAAAACAACAAATAAAGTAATGCATGGATCTCATGGACTATATCTAATACAACGAAATTCCTTTATTTTTCTACACTTGAATACCAACTGTGATACACTAATGGCAGAGTGCAGTCTTTCATCCTAACTGAAAGAAATGTCACAAGAATAAGATAGACGTAACAACAAAAAATGCCCCTAACGTTTGACTAAATAGTCACTTTGGCCCCTATTCTTTTTTTGAGCATTTTGACCCTCAAAGTTTCAGTTTAGGACAAAAAGGCCCCTCCGTGGATGGAAACTATTAGTCAACAAAGGGTATTGGGAACATAATTGTATGTTCTCCTACACATCTTTAACAAGATACTGGGAATATCAAAATTAAAACAAGTAGAAGTTCTTCTAGTGGAACATAATTGTATGTTTTCCTACACATCTTTAACAATGCCATAATTGAACAACGACCTTAATAGGACTAAACATCTGCTAGTTCTGGAATAAACAAATTAAACTAAAACCAGATTAACAGCAAAAGCAACTCACAGGTTCAGGGGCTTCTCACAAACATCGTTATGGAAGAACAGTGTAATGGCAATCTCAAATTCACCCCACCCTGATTCTGTTAACTCAAATGGAGCGGAGTCCACGACTCTTGTAGGATTATTAAAACTGGAATGCAACTGAAAAACAACCCGCTTTACCACCACACTAAGATCCTCATTCGTTGCCCCCCAACATATACAGTCCATTTATGAGATTGATAGCTGAATTAAACATTGGAAAACAAAACCAGACATATATTGAAACGTGCAAATAACAAACCAAACCGAAATTTCAGTAGTTTTAAGTGCTTAGTAAACACTCACTCGCTTGCCTTTTTATCAAGCCAAAAAGCAGCATTACCATATACGATAGGGACACTTATTTCAACATCTTTGATCTTCTTCTGGACAAAAATCATAAAAGGAAAATGCAGAGATAAAATACTCGAGACAAAATACTGTTACTTCCGTTAACAAAACATAACTAAAAACATAGTTTTATAGTGCAACCAGGTTGAAAACTAAATTCCTTTTATCGGCAACGTCATTTTGATTACTTAAGTAATGGGTAAATTTCAAAATTTCAAATGATGAAAAATTGCAGCTCCAAAAAAAAAAAAACAAAAGTTAAACACCAGTCAAACAGCTGAGCAGGGCAATTTGAAAACAAAGTTAAAAAAATAACTTCTTTGAAGTGACAAAACAAAATTACAGCCTTACAATTTTCAATTGAGGTTTTAAAGTTACCTTCTTTTCACTGTCTTCCGGTTTACCCATCTTGGAGAGCTGTGATTTGAGCGTGGGCAAAGCTAATATCCGGCGGATCTGGATCCTGCCTTTTCGAGTATGAGGTATGAATTAAGAAATCAGGCTCAACCTCGTAAAAGGATCGACTGTTGGGGGTGGAGGGAAATTAGGATTTCTCTTCCCCCTCCGGCACAGTGCCTGGTTGCGGTTGCAACTTGGACGGCGTTGGATTTGAGGAATTGATTGCGTAGGAGAGGTTTCTACTACACTATGCTATGAACCAATAACACAGCGACATGTAATGTGACATACACTACAGAATAACTATAAGGCCCTTTTTAAATGTTACGTTCCCTAGTATTGCACAGCGTGACAAATTGACCCAACTCAACATTTCCATCATCCCTACAAGCACTAAGCAAAGCCAACCATTATAAAATATTGAATTTTGTTGTGTTGAAGATACTGGAAGGATGTTATAATTCAAAACTAGTTTAATTTTTGATCGATCTACATTTTTTGATTCTTTTACTCCTATCAATCTTTTAATTGAAATTTTTATTGATTCAATATAATATCACATTCTTTTTTAGCTTGTTACAGACGATCTTGATGTTATCTTTACACTCGACCATCTGCTTTCATCATCGCAGGCTTCATATGCATTGTTGATTGGCCTCTATGCTATTGCTGCACTTGTTTCGGAAACAACTAGTGGTGTTGATGGTGCGGGGACATGGGCTAGAGCATTATTTGAGCGAGTCGCTACTAATTCTACAAATGATTTCTGAAAATACAGCTAGAGAAAAATAAATCCTTTGTATATACGTTTTGTTAAACAAGATTCAACTATTGCTTCTTGATTAC